CAGAATCAAGGCAGCTCTTTAGGAAGGCATGGTCTCACTGTGCACATCTTGTAACCTCCAAATTGGTAGACAATGTAGTACATAGCTCACAGGAAAGTATAACTTTCAACACCCCCAACTTCCCACAACCAGTGACATGCATCCTCAAATGTTACAACTTGCACTCATTCAGGAGGAAATTCTGAATGTCCTTCACGTCACTGTAAAAACAAATAAACACACATAGAAAAATAAAGAACAGACTTAAATGCTGAAATGGCATTTAAGTGGTTTTGGTGTCTTCGTATAGTTCTTTGTACAAGTTCTAGCTTTACATTCAGCAGGTTGTCCTTACTGTGATGAGTGGGAGACTCTTAGCTGCCATTTTCAACTTGATGATTCTCAATGGAGAACTTTTGCTCTTTCCACCCAAGAAGCCTCGCCTCGTCTCGTAGAACTAGAAATGCTTTGGAACTTTATAAATGATTTCCCTTTTGGTATAATAAAATTCTCAATTTTCTTGGTTTTTGAGACAGCTTAATTTTTTTACTATGTTTAAAACTAGTTCTGTTTAATCAAGTGCACAATGAGCTTAGTGTTATTTAGTCATTTAAGCTACTTATTGCTTTACAAAGTCTGTTAGCATGTGTTAACCTGAACTTACATTAAATATGCAAAATATTTACAAAGATTTGGTGCATTTCTCTCTCCAGTAGAGTTCAGAGACTAGATAAAAAATAGTCAACTGTACCAACCATCACAAACCTCTAAAAATTGGAAAATAAAATCCCTATGAACAGTGTTAATCTTGAACATTACTTAATCTGTGGAAGGTAAGTAAAATTTGTTGTGAATGGTGCAGTCGAGCCACTCAGAAATTACTCGACTGCACCATTCACAACAAATTTTACTTAAGATACTATTATGCTGTTGCAGGAATACCATTTAAAAATCACAACACATTCAAATTAATTAAGTTCTAACCCCACCATGACCACAACCTATTTACAGTTTCACTGAACTACATACAAAAACATAAATCAAAACTGACCCAGGCACATGGAAGAGCAATCTCATCCATCATCTAAATAAAGCATCTGCTACAGGAAGATGAAGGCTATTTAAAGGAAAGTGTGAGTGTTGGAGTTCATTCACGATATTCTTAGAATAGTTTTCATTCAATATGACTTCCTCATGAGACAACGAAACAATCACAAGTAGGACAAACATTAGGAACCAGAATGGCGTTACTAATTCTGTGCACAATAATGAATTTAATCAGTTTTATTTACTAAATAAGATCAAATTGATATTATGTCATGTAAAAGCTCAATGCAGGTCTGTTAAAAATGTTATGCAGCACTCATTCTCTGCACTTCAGTCAGGGGTATTTATGTCCAGTGCCCTCGTGCTGACAGTCCCTTTGGAGCCAGAGTATAGGAAATATATTGAAATTTCCTGGAAGTCCCTTCTGTGTGTCATAAAGGAAAAGGGTGTCCTTCAGGGGCCATATGAAAAAGCTCCATCAGACAGGAAGTAAAGGTATGTTTGCATATGTATTATCGTAAGCTAACAATGCAATGTAAAGTGACACATACAGCTTTACTCACAAATACTTGGAAACCCTGATAAGTCACCAAGTTTACATACCCCCACGCTTACCGTTTCAAAATCCTATGTAAGTTGCACGTATAACACA